TTGAACCATCAGCACTGATTCTGAGTCATGTTTATGGTCTGTCGATGAGAGTCCAGTACAACTCACTTATGGTTTCCACCATCTGCTGAGGGAAATATCTGGCTCCTTAGCAGATAAAGTTCCACCATATTCACCAGCTTAGCCGGTGGCATCTTTTGCTCCCTTAGTGGGGAGTTTGGGTACCGCAGTTTGGCTCTATGATGGTTAGCCCTCGTGTGGCAGTTTGCTCTTGAGTCAGTCATATTGAAAACACCTGAGCGGTGTCTTAGCAGATGTATATAAATTTTCACTGTGATGCCTGTTTAATAATGCCTGATAAGATTTTTTGTAGATTGAAATGTTGCTGCTACTGCTGAATTAATTTGCTGGGGACTAGTCTGCAGACTTTTTTCCTGCTGTTTTGTAGCTTAGAAAAAGACCCTGTGAATTCAGGTCACCTAGTAACAGAAAAACATGTGTTGTGTTCAGAGGACAACAGGAGGAAAACAGGTGAGTAGATACATGCATGTACTGAAGCTGGATTTAAAATGTCCATTGATTGATGTGCATTGATTCATTAAGCTGAACAGCCAGTCAGTGCGGTCTCTCTCTCTCACCAATGAGGCCCACCCAGTCTGATCGGCTCCGATATGCCAAATTGGCCAAAAAGCCATCAAACAGCGTCCAACTAGTGCCAATGGTGTGGGACACACTGGGAAGAGGTGCCCCAACAGATGCTCATGTATGGCCCAGTGGTCAGCCAACCATCATCTTGGTGTGTCACAGCCCTTAGGACAGCTGTGGCAGATTTACCTCTGAGTAATTTACAGCGGGGTGAACATACTTTCTTTAAAAAAATTTGAAACATTTATGTCTATAAAGTCAACTAAACAGAACAATGAAGTCAAAATGGAAGCAAAAATAAAAGCAGATAAAGTGTTAAATTGGGTGGAATTAAGATAGATTAAAAGCCATGGAAAAAGAACAGTCTTTTGTTTAGTTTTTAAAGAGGAAGATTGAAGTTCTAATGGGAACTGGTTTTAGCTATGGGCAGCATGACTGAAAGCACTTTCACCAGTTGACCAGTCCCAGCTGATATGAGATTCATATCAGCATCCATCCATTACCACTTATTGCTGAATAGGGTTGCAGAGGGTCTGGAACCTCCATCAATGATTACACCAAGATTCGTGGCACAGGTTTTTAGTGACTTGGCACTGGTCGCCAGCCCTCTTTATTTCCAGAACATATTGCTTTCTATTTTGTCTTTAAGTTGAATGAAATTTTGTTGCACCCAGTTTTTCAAAACTTAAGTCTATAGGACCATAATCACTTAGTGAGAGTGTACATTTCACTTTTTGTTCTCTTCCTGCTTTTCCACATTTGTGTTATTTTATTGTAAGACTTTGTGAAACTAATATGTCTATTTATTGTATTTCTAATTTCCAAGTCACAAGGATGTGTGGTATATGATCTATGTGTGAATGCATGCATGTATGAATAAGAGAAAGAGATACGAATGACAAATGTAATGTGCCTTTGTGATGTCTTGCTGCATGTCAACTTGCTATGTGAAGACCTCAAATCTGAATGCAGGAAATGAACTTGATTATAGCAGACTTGCTCGGAATTGTGCCTCCTTTTTGTGTCGCAGCACTGCTTCACCACAGTAATCACTGTCAGTGATCACATTTATCATCAAAAACACAGTCAAACAACTTTAAAGAATATCACTGAAAGTAAAGATGATCTTACATATCAAATGGTGTATCCCATGTGTATGTCATTCATTTGGATCATATAGCAAGCACAAGTTAAACTATATATGACCACTGTTCAGTTGTCTTGGCTTATTTCGGCTGCAGGGTTTTTTGAAACAGTGTTGTCCATGACTTCATTGTGGATATATTTTTGATTTATTTTGCATTCCATTGATGCAAATGATGTGGTTGTCAGCCTAACAGGAAATGTTTCACCCAGTTTTCAAGAGGACACTAAGATACCTGTCACCTGGACTTGTTCTTGGCTTATTCTTTGTTGAATTAATTGGGGAATGGTGTAGATGACAAACAGCAAAGGGTTACTGCTGTGCTTTGCTGGAGCAGGGTCGGGGGTTAATGTTGATGTTACTATTAGTGAGATTTGCTTCTCCACAAGAATATATTAGAATAGCTATTTGTATAGTATGTAAGTACATATTTATAAGGCTACTATGTATGTATGTTATATGACAGTAGCTTTTAGTTGAGCGTGAAGGAATACAAAATCTTGCCAAGAGTTATGATGAACAGCATTTCATCACTGGAAGACATAAATTTAATTCAGAGGAGGCTGGGAAAACGTTTGGAGGATACAACTATAATATCTAGCTACTATAACCATGTCAGAAGATGAATATTTGTGTGTGTTAGCCAGTGCAAATCCATGCTTTGTTGCTTAGAAACCCTTCACATTATCTCAAGCAGCATCATTTTTTCAGCCTGGGACTCTGTGCCTGTTTTCACTGTATATCTGGGTCTCACCACTGCATCAGATTCAACTCAGGTAGCACTTGCTGACTTTGTAAATGTCTGAAGACTGGTGCTTTAAAAGTAGTTTTGCAGTGTTGAATGCACAAATAGATGAAGATTTTCACTTTGGGCTTCCAAATATGAAGTCACTGAATAACTCTGAAGCCCTTATCATATGTGAACATTTATCTCTCTCTCATACGTGCACGCCCTCAAATGTACTGCACTGTTAACACAATTATCGACAACCAAATCACACTGTAAAATGCTAGAGCAATTTTCACACTGGAATAACCACAAAATACCCAAATGAATATGTTTTCTACCAGACAGGTAATATCCTCTGCCTTTATATCATCAGCCAGTCAGTGTGTACCTCTCATCCCTCTGTTCTGACTCTAAACTATGCCTCTTCTGTGGAAGGCCTGACACACTGTGAGCTTAGGGCCGGGCCTGAAACCTTGCTGGGTTGTTAATGACCTGCTCTGTTATCACTTCTCCGCTACTCTTCACACCTGCACTCAAGAATAATATTTACCCTGTCTATCATTATCTTACAGGGGATATGCCTCTTCCTGTCTAAAGTCAGACTTGCTTCCAAGCAAGGAGAAGGGAATGGACAATCTGTGTGAAACAAATCTTTTTAGGAAAAGTGAGCACAGAGAGCTGTGGAGAACCAAAAATATTTTCACCCAGCACAGTGGGTTTTTGGATGTAGTAGCATTTTTATGAATGATTTGAAATTTGATGTGGTTGTGTACTCTTCGCATTTATACAGTTTTGTATCTGAGATATGTATATGGAAATGCAAACTTAATTAAAATGGAATTCATGCACTGTGGCAGATTTTCATATAACAACAGAGCAGCACTTAAAAGCCAGGCTCAGTAGCAGGGTATCAAAGAATTGCCTGAAAGCCTATTTGATTTTTTTCACTGAGTGTGACCTGGTAGAATAGCTTCATGCTATAGGACAGTATTTTTATGCTTATGTCCTTCCTTGCTGAGAGTTAGATAAGATCGACACCACTCTTGTACATGTTTGGTTTTTTTTTTTGTATGAAATTAATGGCTGGGATCAAGTGGTTAGCTTAGTTTAGCATAAAAACCGAAGACAGGGAAAACGGTAAATCAGTTAACACTGCATCAAAAGGTTCAGACAATCTAAGTTCTTCCTTGATGTTGCAATTTTCAACTGCTTGAAGGATGTGACTCAAGGATTACAAGAAACTACTGTTTTGTCATTTGGATTTGCTGAACTTTGCTGACATTGTCACTTGCTGGAGAAGTGGCACTGAGGCAAACACTTTACACTTCACTAGAGCACAATCAGTTAGAGTACTATTAACAATGCCTCCGTGTTTTTTTCAAAATGCGTATTTAGTGCTGTGTTTTTTACTACTGCTACCTACAACACTCAGCACTTCACATTCAACCTGGTTACAGAGATTACTCAGCAGGGACATACAGGCAATGAACAATGTAAGAGGAACATGAATCACACCAACACCTCCGACACCATTTAGACAAAAACATGCATACAAAGGCAGGCTTTACAGGACTTTTGTAATGAATTGCTTTGGGCAGTAAGGCATTTCTGTTTTTTCTGTCTTCACTCCTGCAAATGTTCACTATATTTCTGTGCCAGTTTTCTTTATTAGAGATTGAAAAATACTTGAAAAGGACTGTCAATAATTTGGAATGTTTTTATCTGAATTAGTTGAAAGTATGCTGAAGTAGAATTAACTGCCTGTGTGTCTAAGCCACTGACTGTACAAATATGGATGTGGTGTCACCCCTTCCCTCCACTATGCAAAAGTGAAGCCAAATCAAATCATCATCAAATAACTTCAGCCATCATGGTGTATATATTTTCTACAGTCAATGGTACAAAGACACTTGGCTAAGAAAACTTGTAGAAGTTATGTCCAATTACTCTGTTTACTGTAATGACTATTATCCCTCTTATCTTTAAAAAAAAAAGAAAGCATTTACCAGGCAATAGTTATTTAAATTTTAAAGGCAGTAACAAATTTACAGTTAGAGTAAGTTAGAATACGATGCAGTAAATAAAAATGTGCAAAATAAATACAGTATAGAAGCTACCACTGAGCAGTTTTTCTAATGTGTTGTTTAAAGGGAGAGTCACTTTTGTGCAATAAATCTCAATTTACAACTACAGAAATGCATTTCCTGTCAAAAATGCATGCGGATGCTGATATGCTGAAGGACCACCCTGAAAATGCCTGAAATCAATTGCTGATACAGCTGAAGGATGAAAAGAAATGGCTGAAGTTCTTTGTTGAAATAGTTGAGAAGAAATAACTGAAGTTCTTTGTTGAATAATCTGAAGAATGAGATGTGTATACGTTTGTTTTCAAGGGTATACCTCTTCTGGTTTCAGGGGTTACACCTTCCTCTGTTCTCTTCCCTAATCCATCCCTCTCCTTTCTCCTTCCTCCTGAATATGCACATAGCCTTACCACCCCCCTCTCCCCCTCCGTTCTCTCAGACGGCTTTGCTCCACCAGTTCTGCACTGCGCTGGCCTGAAGAGGAGTGAGTGAGCAGAAAGAGAAGCAAAAGAGGATTTCGTGAACCGAGGAAAGACGGACAAGGGAGAGGGACCATGGCTACTCTCTCTGCCTTGTTGAAACCCTGGGTTATACTGCAGATCTTGTGCCTGTCTCTGGCCCAAGTGGTGAGTAGACAGGGAAGGCTGCTCAGCTCAGGCTTTGCTTCATTATTCTGGGGCCCATTGGGGAGGAGGCCCATGGGAAGGGCCAGTGGGCTCTGGATGTCCTGGGGTGATGTTCTTGGTTGCGTGTTATCTTAGTGCTCATTGATGTCATTAAAATCCTGGTTTTATAGGATACATTTAAAAAAAAGATGAACTTGACATGGTTTTCTGCTGAAGAAACAAAGTGAAACTGGACCTCTGTTTCTGTGGATTATCATTCTTATCTTGTACAGACTTTTTACTTCTTAACTAAGGAGCTCAGAATCAAAGGGAGAATTTGTCATTACCTGACTTTTTTAACAACAAAGCTTTTGATTCATTGAAGAATAGAGAAAACCATTGACAATGGTGAAAAAGTGCAAATTCACAGGGCACTGACACATATATGCCAACTGCTTACTGAGTGTGGATCCTCCTATTCAAACAAATGCCTACATGTTACCTCCTCGTCTTCACTTTCAAGGATTATTTTTATTTTTTAATTTATGTGCATTTTTCTTGAACATTTCAAAGTGTGATAAAGACTGTTATCACCTGATGGACTGGCTGATGACTGAGATGATACATGCTGAGGGGGACAGGGAAACAGAGATGGGGTGATGGTAGGGGAGGTTGGGGTAAACAGTGCTATTCTCATGACCCCTCCTCCCACAGTCTTCATCAGTCCTTTGTTTTTACCCCTCTTCTACTTTTTCTTCTTATTTAATTTGATTTTGACTTTAGGATTTTTTATAAGCAATATCATTTTAACTTTGATAATATGTTCCAAAATTAATGACAAGTTGCACTACATTAGTATATACATAAAGAATATAGACATTTTCTAATATAAATGTGCCTTTTAGTATTATCTACTACTGGATCACTATAGTTTTCATGCTTTAACACAATATTGCAGTTTATAGAACTGTTTTGGTATTTGTTTGTTGCAATACAAAAATAGTCCACTGTTTTCTCTCTGTGTTTCAGAGGGGTCCACCTGGACCTCAGGGTCTGCCCGGCCCACCGGGCCCCTCTGGTACCCCTGGGTCGGACGGCATTGATGTAAGTATCCAGAAAGCTTTGCTCAATAGGCTTATCACAAAGACCATCATTGTGCTGGAGAAATACCAAACCCTGTGCTGCTGTGCAGCACCACACTGTCACCAGCAGAGGGCACTGCAAATGAAAACACTGGCACAAAGGAGCTCTGTTCCCAACAGAGAAAAGGTCTTTGAGCATGGACTCTTGGTTCAGTCCTGAGTTTGTGTCATAGTAATATGATACTTTTGAAATATTCTTTGGGTTAACTACAGCCAGGCTGTGTAAATATGTTCTAAATTGAGGCTGCTGGAGAAGTGAAACAGGAGATGTGCTGCTAATCAAACCACAAGGGGAGTTTTTTGGTTTCTATTCTGTAATCAAAAATCTGATTTCTTTAGATCATCTTATACATTTGAACAGACATCTATGATCTTAATATTTACTGATCCACCTTCATGATATGTAGTGCCTGTTGGATTATGAGTTAGATTCTCAGCATCAGGTTGCCAACACAGTGCAAGCTGGGTTATGTTACCCAATGTAGGTTACATTACCTCCTCCCATTTAAAAAAATGGCAACATTGCATAGTCGAGACTTGGAGGCACTTGCCTGCTTGACTGCCCTTCTACAGGCTTTTCCTGTTTGTGTTCCTACCCCAGTGAAGCAGCAAGATGGGATGTCAACCTGAAGAAAAACCTACTCAGTGCTTGGGAAAATTTAGGCCTCATCTAAAGGTTGCACTTGCTATAGTACAGTCAGTAGCTGAACCCTTCACCACTAGCCACAGTGGCTGAGCTTTGACTTTAACAACATGATATTAATGTTGTAATATGGATTTATTGCATAGCTACCATAAATATCTCAGAAGCATCATTATCCCATAGCTGTTAGCAAGCTGCACTTTAACAAGTCCAACACAAAGACTCTCAATACATTTTATATTTTTCAAATGTTTCATTTACTGTTTTTAATCAACGAAGCTACACTGAGGTCAGAAAATTCTTTTGCAAGGACTAGACAGAAACAGAAAGGTGCAGGCAAGTTAAAATGGATAAAACAAAATATGTATTTATATATATCAAAACAGACAAGACTTCTGCTATAGTTAATTTGTTTTGTGAGGGCTTGTATAGTGAACCAGAGGGAATAATGCTACCAGTGATGTACATTGTGCTGATAGATATGACGATGAGCAAAAATTATGCATGTTATGAGTAATTTTATTAGGTTACAGTTCCTGCTATGTCCCCTGTTCCCATATTCTGTTCAGTTAAAACATACAAGATAAATGGATTTAAATTTCCACTCTCTCTCTGCAGGGCGAGAAAGGACCCCTTGGCCCACCCGGTCAACCAGTAAGTTTGTACTGTGCTGTTTATGGGCGTTCATACTGCAAACACTTTCATATTTGTTCATGACTATAATGTGTCATAATGTGTTTGTTTTAATGTAGGGACGAAAGGGAGAGCCAGGGGAGCCAGGTGCTGATGGAGCTCCAGGAGAGAATGGTATTGAAGTAAGTAAACTGAGTGATGTGTGTGTGTGAGAGAGAAGGAGACAAAGTGAAAGAGAGATGGCATGTAAGAGAGGAAGAATGCAACCACTACAATATGCATGAGGATGGACATGAGTGTGACATTTGTACTTGCTTGCAAAGGTGGTTAAAAATAACATTAGAACATGTAAATCTGACAGAACCATTCCAACTCAAGATCTGCTCACAGTACTAAGGTTTCAATGTCACAGTCCTCATCAGCAGTCAAGTTTAGTCAGTCAACGTCAAAGGTCAAAGTGTTTATTTGTCATATGCACAGTTAGGAAATGTGTTTCCCTGTACAATGAAATTCTTACTTTGCTATCCACATGAATGCCACAAAATACAAATGAAATATAAAGTAGATAAATAAGTAAAACAAAATCTAAGGCACTTTAAGCAGCAATATAATAAAAATATATAAGAATATAATAAGAGAATGTATGCTGCATGGGAGCATCATGTGCGGCAGTCAACAGTGAATGTGCAATTATGCATGAGCAAACAGAATGTAAATAGTACAGGTCGTCAGTACATGGTGTATTTCCTGGTAATAAATTCCTGTCAGCTGTTTAGGATTCTGATGGCAGAGGGAAAGGAAGAGTTAGCGCTGCCATACCAGACAGTGATGCAGCTGGTCAAGATGCTCTCAATGATGCAGCTGTAGAAGTTGCAAAGGATCCTAGGCGACATGCCAAACCTCCTCAGCCTCCTCAGGAAGTAGAGCCGTCGTTGGGCCTTCTTGACCAGCTGTGTGGTGTTAAGTGTCCAAGTCAGGTCCTCACTGATGTGGACGCCCAGGTATTTGAAGCTGCTCTCCCTCTTCACTTCAAGCCCCCAGATAAACAGTGGCTGATGAGTTCTCCTCTGCTTCCTCATGTCCACTATCATCTCCTTCGCCTTGTCCATGTTGAGGCTGAGATTATTGTCCTTGCGCCATGACACCAGACCGGCCACCTCCCTCCTGTAGGCTGCTTTGTCCTCGCCAGTGATTCAACCTATCACTGTGTTGTCGTCCGCGAGCTTTAGGATGATGTTGTCTTTGTGGGAGGTGTCACAGTCGTAGGTGAACAGGGTGTAGAGGATGGGGCTGAGGACACATCCCTGTGAGATGCCGGTGTTTGTAACAATGCTGGCTGAAGTCCTATTGCCAATCCTGATAGTCTGGGGCCTGCCAGGCAGAAAGT